ACAATAAATAGTGATTAACAATAAGCTTTGCCCTTCATTAAACATATAAAAGTTTAATACATTAAGTATTCCAAAAAGCTATTACATCAAATGAGTGGCTTTGTGGGCCTACTTCCAACAACTAGTTTACTGTAAAACTAAAATTTTATGAATTAATATAAATTCCCAATTCTTTTTACATATTCACAATTATGAATGCCAAATTCCTATATGTACATTTTTCAGGGTATTACATATAATCTTAGAAAAATAAAGAAGCCGATGAATGGAGAAGCAAACCTTTTCCACTATATGATAGATTTGCATATATATTTCGAAAAGATCGGGCTACGGGTAATGTAGCCAAAACCCCTGCTGAAATGATGGAGGAACAAAGTCATGATCAAGTTGGTGCAAGAGATATTGGAGGTGAAAATTTTGTTCTTCAACGAACCAACAAAGCCAACAAAGCACCCCATCTGAAAATAGCCAAAGAAAGAGGAAAAGAGCTATGGGAAGTTCAAGTGATGGAACCGAGGCAATTATTAGTGGACTGAAAGAATTTTATGTTGAAAGTGGGAAGGGAATGCAAATGGTAACTGAAGCTTTAGTTCAAGGTACTGCAGATCATGCTGACATAGCTAATGAACTTGAAGTAATGGGTCTTTCTCCTATGGATCAAATTGATGCATTGACTCTTATTTTGGAAAAACCACAAAATGTGGCAGTGTTCAGGGCAATCAAATCGGAACTCAAGAAAGTGTTCGTCCAAAGGCTTTTAAGCAACAAAGCAAGCGGATGAGTATATTATGTGGTGCCTTTTGACATAAATGTATTTTATTAATCGTACAATCTTAGGTTATGACTTATAACTTAGCTTTGTACTATGAAGTATTTTGGCTAATGTTAACTAGGATTTTGTAAATTATGAAGATCTACTTTGGAATGCGATACTATAGTTAACTGGCATTTTGTATAATATCCTGGATGAAAGTTTGACTTGTCACAAGTATCTTCTTATGTACTTGTGAATGATGTTTTAAGAGTCAATCAATGGCAAAGATTGGCTTATCACAATTATCTTCTTATGTACTTGCATTTGTTGAAGTTGCATGTATTGGGCACTCTTCTTTTTCTTCTTTTGGGTGATAGAGTTTAAACCAAACTACATTTGCAGATCAAAGAGCTTAGAGAAGGGATGTGGATTAAAAGAGATCAGGGTTTGTGTACACGGATCCCATAAGCCAGTGAGGGCTTAGCTGCAAAAGGCTTTATATAGAATAGAGTTGAGAAATTCCATAGTTCAAGTTCCCAAACACTCAATTTGCTACCTGAATGTGCCTTAAGGGGTGGGGAGTCTCATCCACTTGAAATGTAATGTTGGTCATTATATGATAAGCTGAAGAATTCTAAAAATTTATAAATATCTTATCACCAATTTGCCATCTTAAACTCAACTATAATATGTCCCAATTCTATTAGCAGGTACTAAAAACAAAACAATTGTCTTGTTTTTTTTTAAGATTCATAATATACATGGCAAAAATATGCTCCAATTAACCCAGATCATGAGATTTGTAGCATTACTCTATTACACAATGGCAAAAAATTTTAAGGCATTGGGCACAGGTATTGGAGCTATTAAAATAGAATAATAATGTAGTCCTAGTCTAAACAAACACAAATCTGGTGAACAGTATTGTTTTCATTATCCTGCTTCTTAGTCTGACACTGCACTAAACGCTTCACTAAGTTAGTCCAGCTTAGTCCTGCAGCTAGTCCAGTTCGAGACAGTCCGGTGCAACAAACGACCCCTAAAAGATTAAATGAAGAGATCTTAAAATGCATTACATGATCATTGCAAAGACATGAATAAAATTTTAAAAGGTTAAATATGTGAATTTTCCCTATAGCGATTGTTGGGGTTGTGAACCTAATTCAATTGGAAGACGAGCTCTAAGGGTTGTTTTTGGAGCATGTTGATTAGAGATTGATTAATGTCAATAAGAAATTATATAAGATGACATGTCTCACAAATGAGATAAAATTTTCATTACATCTAACCTATTGCACCTCACAATATAGCAAAAAAGAAAAATATCTAGAAAATTGCCACTAGCCATGTCATAGTTTGTGCAACTAGTAATCGACCGTGTCGTTCGATGGACAGGATTGTGAAAATTAGACAACTATAGGGTTCAAAATGTAAAAATTAATATATAGCTCATTCTAGGGTGATCAGTGTAAGATTGCTACGTTTAGGACGATGAGTTTTATCTCTTAATGAGGCTATTCGTAGTTATGTCTATAGTAGTAGGGACATGGGAATGAACCTCACCTATATGAACATAAGAAGTGGTGCCGTTTCTATCAAGAGTTGTGTTTTCTCTTGTAAATGTTCATGAAAACAAGATGAAGCACAAGGCCATAATAGTGCTTAATTAGTTCAGAAATTTCTTTAAGGAAATAAGATATAGTCATGTGTGTAGTGATTCCGGTTTTAACATATGAATAGTTGGTTTAAACCTAGGTCACCATCGCATTTGTTATAATTTTGAATTACTTACACTAATTAAAGGTTTTAATTCGAAAGACACCTTTATTGTATACATGATTATATCAGTATTTTTATGGTTAATTATAAAGAGATAATTGTTATTATAATATTTACCATATTATTGAAATTGGGAAGGATTGGCAACCTTTACAAAGGTTGTATAATCCACCCTTTTACTCTTGTACCTTTTGGTTGAATTATTGTTACATTTGATTAAAGGACATAATGTTTGAGATTGTTATACTCAAACAGTATGAGTAAAATTAAAAGGATGCAACCAGTCAATATTAATTTTTGAAATTAGACATATCTTTTGGGTCAACATTCTTTATAAAAGTTGTCTATCTTCAACCAAAATGAATGGGTGCTTTATTGTCTATAAATTGTGGCATAATGTTTCACACACAATTCAAAAATTTGTTGTTTACACAATTTATTTTTTCTCTTTTCTCTCTCCATCACATTCGTACAATTTATTTCTAGTTATTTCTAAGAGAATAGAATTCGGTTTTGCTAATCAAATATTTCATCATTTGTTGTATCTTGGAAGTGATTTGCCAAGAACCCTTTAGCAAACTTATTCGAGTGGGGACAAATAACACTTTAAGGAAACGATTCAAGTCGTACCTCAAAGTCATCATTTCAATTATTCTCTATATTTCTACATTTACTCAAACACTTAAGTGAGAGGTTATGAATCCTATCTTTTATCGGACTCACATGCCGGATCCAAATCCAGTCCATCTTACATTTTAGCGCATCAAATATGGGTTACGTTACAAGTCCAATTTAAAAGAAAATAAGATGTCCAAACCAGCCTACCAAACATGCGATATTAGACCATAAAAGATTAAATGAAGAGATCTTAAAATGCATTACATGATCATTGCAAAGATACAAACAAAATTTTAAATTTGTGAATTTCCCTATATGGATTGTTGGGGTTGTAAACCTAATTCAATTGGAAGACGAGGTTTAATATGTTGTCATCGCCTAAGGATTGTTTTTTGAGCATGTTGATTAGACATTGATTAATGTCGGTAAGAAATTAAATAAGATGACACGTATCACAATTCACAAATGAGATAAAATTTTCATTACAAATTATATTTGCTTATATAAATTTTGAAATCTAACCTACTGCACCTCACAATATAACAAAAAAAGAAAATAATCTAGAGGACTAAATCCATTTAGGAGGCCAAAACTGTCCCTAGCCATGTCATAGTTTGTGCAACTAGTAAACGACCATGTCGTTCGATGGGCGGGATTGTGAAAATCAACTATAGGGTTCAAAATGTAAAAATCAACTTTGGTTTATAAGCAAATCAATGGAAAACCAACCAAATATTAAGGACCATTTAATAATTTTAAGGGCTCTTTTGGCTAAATAGCCAAAATGGTCCTTAAGATTTACATAACTCATCACTTTGGTCCCTAACATTTCAAATCGTTTCTTAACCAAATTTGACCCATAATATATCAAAATAAAGATAGGAAAGTGTAAAATAAGATTATACCTATTTGGAAGCCCAATGGCTGCCGGAGATAGCCGGAAAATAGCCTCAAAGTTGACTGGTCCGAGAGAAAACTGAAAAACTCGCCGGAAACTGGGTAAACTTTAAACGTTCATAACTTCTTCAATATGCAACGAAATCAAGTGATTCAAAAATGAAAAGCATACTTCTCAACGAAAAGAAGAGAATGATACCTTTTTAGAAGGCTAAATAGCCATGCTTTGGCTGGAAAATGGCTCGAAAGTGGCTAACTCGAGACCAAGACAGCCACTTTCGAGCCGTTTTCTGGATAAAACACAGAGATTTAGCCATCTAAATATGTACCATTCTCTTTGTCTCGTCGTGAAGTATGATTTTCATTTTTGAATCACTTGATTTCGTTGAGTATTGAAGAAGTTATGAACGTTTAAAGTTTACCCAGTTTCCGACGAGTTTTCCAATTTTCCATCAAACCAGTCAACCTTGAGGCTATTTTCTAGCCATTGGGCTTCCAAATAAGTATAATCTTATTCTACACTTTCGTATCTTCATTTTGATATATTATGGGTCGAATTTGGTTAAGAAACGATTGAGTTACGAAATTTTGAAAATTACCTAAACTTCTGGCCAAGAGCTTCGGGACACTCAACGGAGTTTTTAACGGAATGACCAAAATAATGGATGAGAGATAATCTCAAGAATCACTTTTATCAATTTAAAATATTATGGATCAAAATGATGAGTTATACAAATCTCAAAAATTATTTTAGCTATTTAGTCTAATTTTAAGTTCATCCTTTTTCAATGGCACACACGGGCGAGCGGGCACGTACTTTTTGCCCACGCGGGGTCAAATCAAAGCTTTTGCGTTCTCAGAGTCTGTCCCTTGACGATAACGTCATCTGCCACATCAAACACCGTGGTCGTTCACGTTGAATTTGAACGATGGAGATTTCCACCCGACGTCGTCAATGTCAAAACTGCCCTCCAACCTGCTCCTTTTAAATCCAGCCAAATTCCACACGCATTCCATCCCTCCTCTCAGACTACCGGAGCTGCCGAGAACAACAACAAAAACCTCGTCGACCGGTCGGAATATTCTTCTTCTCTCTATTCTCTCCGAAAAACAGCAGAAAACATGGGGAGCCAAGGAAGCGGAGAAGGCGGCGGGTGTTCGAGGAAGCCCAGGTTTCTGTGCCTCCATGGGTTCCGAACTAGCGGGGAAATAATGAGGAAGCAAGTGGGCAAGTGGCCGGAATCGGTGCTGGAGAAGCTCGACATGGTTTATCTCGATGGGCCCTTTCCGGCCGAAGGTAAATCCGACGTCGACGGCATTTTCGATCCTCCTTATTACGAGTGGTTCCAATTCAACCAGGTAAAAAACAAAAATTCAAAACCCAGATTCTTGTTCTTGCTGTTTTTTTTTTATAATCTTTTTGTGGAATGTAATTTTTTGTTTTTATTTTTTTTTTACAGGAATTTTCAGCGTACACGAACTTTGACGAGTGTCTGGAATACATAGAAGATTACATGATTAAACAGGGACCGTTCGATGGCCTTGTTGGTTTTTCCCAGGTATTTATTTTATTAACGCTTTTAAGCTATAAGTCGGTTATAATTCACAGTAATGTATTAAGTAGGTATTGATGAATGAACGCAGGGAGCAATACTGTCGGCGGGGCTGCCGGGGCTGCAAGCGAAGGTAGGTAGAAAAGAAGCAAATAATTCAAGTTTTTAATATAATTTAAAGAAATGAAAGGTGACGAGGGAGTTGAGGTGGTGTCGTTTTGGTTTGGTTGCAGGGTGTGGCATTGACTAAAGTTCCCAAAATTAAATTCCTGATAATAATCGGAGGGGCGAAATTCAAGTCACCGGCGGTGGCTGAGGATGCTTATTCGTCTCCCATTCAGTGCCCGTCCCTTCACTTTTTAGGTATATTTCGTTTCATTTATTTGCTCAATTTTTGAATGCACAAATAACTTTGTTAGATACAAAATCAATCAACGATTCAAAATCGCTCGAATTTATTGGTTTGATGGGTTTTATATTGCAGGACCTCTTTTAATTAATTACCTAGAATCGGTTAGGAGCGGGGACTCGGACTTTATTAATTTGTCAATTCTTATATTTTATAGGACTTATTTCAATTAACGGTTCAGAATCGTTGGCTTATGCATATGGTTTTAATTAGTTGGTTGACTTGGTGTGAGTGACACATTTCCTTACCCAACAATTAGCATGAGTAACATATTATTGCAAAACCTGGCCAAATTTGTAATGTTATTAAATGAATTGAATTAGTTGGTTGGTCGCATTTTCCGTTTCCATTGTTTCCCTTCATTTATGGGTTCTACATTGTAGGACACTGACTTGTTATAATCAACGATCCAAAATTATCCGTTAACGTGGACGGGCTATCCTCCACTCGAGAGAACCGCATTGGTAAACCTACTTAGACCTAGTTTGGGAGTGAGGTGCTTAAAAAAAAAGCACCCATGAAAAAAAGCTGTGAGGGTTTTAGGTGTTTGGTAAACTGAAAAAAAATGGCTTATTTTAGAAGCTGCTGTGAGAATAAGCTGAAATCAAAGGAAAAAGCTGAAGCTGCTATTTGTAGCTTTGGAAAACTGGCTTTTTTTTCAAAGCATACGAAGCTACAGTACTTCTTTAATGAAAAGACCCACTATCAGACTGCTTTTTTTTCCAAAAGCACTTTTACAAAAAAGTTTACCAAACACTCAGCTGATTTATTTCACAGCCGCTTATTCTCACAGCAGCTTTTTTTCAAAGCACAGCAATACCAAACCAGCCCTTAGTATCTAAAATCATCTACGGCCTTGAGGTGTTCGTCTGTGGATTATTTACGAGTGTGTTATATGTGTTGCAGGAGAGATGGATTTCTTGAAGCCGTACGGGCTTGAACTGTTGGAACACTGTGTAGATGCTTCGGTGATTCATCATCCGAAAGGCCACACTGTTCCGAGACTTGACGAAAAGGGTTTGGATACGATGATGAACTTCATCGACAAGATTCAGAACATATTGGCGGAGAAGGATCAACAGTGACAATAATGTCTAAATCTTTGCAGCGAAACAAAGTCCTACGTATTTTTGTGGATATTATATATTGGCCTTGATTTCATGCCAAATTGGTTTCTATGTAGAATGTGTTGTTATAATTTTTATGGAAGTGGATCATTGGAGTATCCCCATTTACAATTTATCTCAAATGACCCAATCTGTTATAATATGTCATGTTTTTACTCTAAAATTATACAACTATAACTAAGAACTCAATATCCAGGCCACAAACGCTAAAAGAAACACTATAATTTCCCAACGACAAACTTTCTAGTAATACAGTAGAATTGCTTAGCTACAAGTAATTGAAATCCAAATGACATAAAAGATTACGCTTACAAGAACTAAAAGGCACCATAGGAAAAGATCCCATCACTTTGATGATCTTGCAATCGTCGACAAAAAGCATGAAATGTCGAACTTACTCTTTACAAGCCCTTTAAGATTGTAACATTCAAGGATTCGAGTTTGAGCAACCACTAGGAGGAAAGAAGAAGTAAGAGCTAGTTTGGTATTGTTGTGCTTTGAAAAAAAACTGATGTGAGAATAAGCGGCTGTGAAATAAATCAGCAGAGTATTTGGTAAACTTTTTTGTAAAAGTGCTTTTGGAAAAAAAAGCAGTATGATAGTGGGTCTTTTCATTAAAGGAGCACTGTAACTCCGTGTGCTTTGAAAAAAAAACCAATTTTACAAAGCTACAAATAGCAGCTTCAGCTTTTTCCTTTATTTTCAGCTTATTCTCACAGCAGCTTCCAAAATAAGCCATTTTTTTTTCAGTTTACCAAACACCTAAAACCCTCACAGTTTTTTTTCATGGGTGCTTTTTTTTTAAGCATCTCACTACCAAACCACCCCTAAGAGGGATTGTCGCTGATCCAAAGGCCAAAAGCAAGGGTTTGTTTTAAGATATTAGGTTATTTCCGTTAACTATGTGTCATTTCAGAGATATTGTGCCCCTAAAACCCAAGTTGAGGAAGTTGGGGAAGTTGAGGAAGTTAAAGAAGTTGAAGTTCTGCCAAGAAAACAAGCTTTGCTCGCAGGCGCAGTCCAATGTGGTCATTGGCACGCAAAACCAGAATAATGACACGTGTCCTCTTCCTAACCCAATTTGGGTTAGTTTCCCAATCGCTCTCTTCCACTTCCATTTCGAACGCTTCCACCTCTTTCTACAACCCTCTCTCCACTGTCTCTGTAAGCTTCTAACTTCTCTTCTGTCTCTCTCTCTCTCTCTCTCTCTCTAGAACCAAGAATTCAGTAAATTCATATACTGTATCGTTAAATTTTGCAGGCATTTCTTCAACCAGTTCTGAGCCCTGCAATTCATGCGTTTTGTTCGAACCCCAGCAGCGCAGCGGGAGTTGGGTCTGTAGGCGCAGTACCCAGCATGCAGAATCCGGAGGATATATCGTACCTGACGCAGCGTGAAGCTGCTGAGATCGATGAGATCCTCATGGGTCCTCTCGGCTTCAGCGTCGACCAGTTAATGGTCAGTCACTCTCCTTTTCCCTTTTAAAAGTATTTTTTGTATGATGGGTTGGGTTCATAGTCATTTACTGACAATCTCAATTCTGGGTTTTTGTTAATTTTGTAGGAATTGGCTGGTTTGAGCGTGGCCACTTCCATTGCAGAGGTAAAGATTTTCACTTTCCTAGCAGTTTTCAGTGTATTTTGTGATTAATTGAATGTGAACTCGTTGTTTTCGGATATTCGTATGCCTCTTGTTTTTGGGCTTTCTGCACTATTTTGATTGTTCGTATTGTTGTTGATGATCATGCACATGTAACTAGCCGAACTGTAATCATTAATTTACTTATTTACTTTCTGTTGAGAGATGCAATGAGATTATTTCATCTGAGTATTCCGCAACGCTACTAGGTGTAAAAAATGTTCATTTAGGAGTGACTTGAGGAACTGCATTTGGGTTATATGGTGCTTCATATTTGTTTCTTAATATATTTGGCAGGTCTATAAACCAAGTGAGTATAATCGAGTCCTTGTGATTTGTGGCCCTGGAAACAACGGTGGTGATGGTCTCGTGGCTGCTCGTCACCTGTATCACTTTGGTTATAAGCTGTCTGTTTGTTATCCAAAGCGTACTGCTAAGCCTCTTTATGCTGGTCTTGTTACGCAAGTATGGAATACAACTCAAAGTTAAAAAACTCTTGAATGTGGGGTTATATTACAGATACATGGCTGTTGGATTTGTCTCATAATGATTATTTTGCAGCTGGAATCACTGTCAGTCCCCTTCATCTCAGTGGAAGATCTGCCGTTGGACTTGTCAAAGGACTTTGACATTATTGTAGATGCAATGTTCGGTTTCTCATTCCATGGTAATTACTACTTTTTTCATTTTAGGCAAATTGACCTTTCTCTATGTAGTGAGGATGCCAATACAATTTTGTTGACACAATCACTCTGATTCTCCTTCAATTGTTGTCCAAGTATAAGAAACTGACATGATAAGTCGGAAATACTTTACATCCTAAACATTTAAACATATGTACAGTGGAACCTAAGATTACATTGCCCTGCTCTCTGGCAAGATATTGTCTGGGTTGGTATTTCTATCATAAATTGTCATAGAAAATACCAAATTTGCTCAACTACATAAACCTAAGATTAAATCTGACTGCTCAATTTTCTCAGATAAGCCATAGTTCTTCGACAAAATCTCAACTCAACAAATGATTTATCAGTCTTTACTCCTTTTTATTTATGCAGGACCCTGACATATATAACCACTCAATAATTTTCATCCTGATTAGAGATTCTTAACTTGTTGATGATTGTGGTTTATTTTTGGTTGGGTTATATGATATCTCTAACTGCAATAGTTTGTAATACTTCAGGTTCCCCAAGGCCTCCCTTTGATAACCTGATCCAAAAGCTTGTTTGTGTAAAAAAATATGATCAAACTCGCGAAAAGTCTTCTGTTATTGTCTCTGTAGATATTCCATCTGGGTGGCATGTTGAAGGGGATGGTGGTGTCGAAGGCATTAAGCCTGACATGTTGGTATGTTGTAGTAGCTCTCAACCTAGTCTTGGCTACAAATGATTGAACTTTGCGATTTTTATTTAAAATTTGTATCTATTTATATGTACATGTGTATTTATTTATATACAATAAGCCATCCTGTTGATGCAAACTTGCTACTTTCCAGGTTTCTCTGACTGCTCCAAAGTTGTGTGCAAAGAAATTTTTTGGTCCACACCATTTTCTGGGTGGTAGATTTGTCCCACCATCTATTGCTGATAAATATAAGCTTCGCCTTCCACCATATCCAGGCACTTCTATGTGTGTCCGTATTGGAATGCCCCCACAAGTTGATATATCAGCTCTAAGAGAGAACTATATTTCTCCTGAGTTTCTTGAGGAACAGGTGGAGGCTGACCCCTTTGATCAGGTAAAGATTCAGCGTCTTAAGTCTAGCTGGTTTCAATTATGTCAGATTTAGTTGCAAAAGGTGTCCCTCATTTTTACAGTAAGCCCTTACTTATTTTACAGTTCCGCAAATGGTTCGACGATGTAGTGGCTGCTGGATTGAGGGAACCAAATGCTATGGCATTGTCAACGGCTACCAAGAATGGAAAAATGTAATATCTGTTTCCTATGTTACTATGTCTCTTTTATCAATAGTAACTTATGTTTCATATGTTCTTACATGTTATACATGGCTATTTTATTGCTTTCACCATAGTCCCTAAAGTTTTGTTCTCTGCATTTTTTGTTTTGGATATTAAAATGATTTTTCTCATGCATGTATTATAACCTGTTATAGTTAACATAAATTAGTTTCTTCTACAGCTCATCACGAATGGTATTGCTCAAAGGATTTGATAAGAACGGTTTTGTCTGGTTAGTATCCATCTGTTATTATTGAGGCTGTACATATATCAACAAGGCAGATTATGTTATTAATGAAGATGCTTATAATATTCTTAATTCAATGGTATTAATTTGTGCAGGTACACGAACTATGAAAGTCAAAAGGCACATGAATTGTCTGAAAATCCTCGTGCATCTCTTCTTTTCTACTGGGATGGCCTGAATCGGCAGGTAAACTGTGTTTTTCACTTTGTGGCTAATGCTTTTAGAATACGGAGCCTATAGTGCTTGTATGCATAGGTTAACCTACTTTTGTTTTGGCCTTACATTGGTTTGTACTTTGTAGCTTTCTAATAAATATTTTAGCTATTGACATAAAAGAAAACTGGATGAGGGATTGCTGTTTTGATGATCTGCATGTATGAAGATTGTCTCATAACACCATCTTTGGCTTACAGGTGAGAGTGGAAGGGTCTGTGCAGAAAGTTTCTGATGAGGAATCTGATCAATACTTCCATAGCCGTCCTCGAGGCAGTCAGATTGGAGCAATAGTTAGCAAGCAGGTTTGTCTCACTCAATCTTCTCTTATATTAATGAATTCACTACTCTTGATAGGACACGTTCTTTCTCAATTGCTGCATAAATTTTATATAGATTTTGAAGGCTCGCAAAATTTCCTCGAGAATCAGCGGCAAGTTATATGTGATAAAGTTTTAATTGATAATATGGGAAGCAATTTCCTCGCACCTATTATCTACCCCTACATACCCTGAATATTTCTGGCCCTTGGATTGAATAAATTAAGGGAGAGTCAAGGGACATAAATAATTAGGAAGATAACCCTATCGTAAATAAATTAGGAATTAAACCATTGTGGTGAGAACTGTTAGGAATTGAGCCCCAAATTAAAATTTTTGTTAAGTCATTGTCAATATGCTCCCCATGAGTCTCACGTACAAGGCTAAATTAGTCACTTTCCATGTGTTAACCCATTCCACGTCTTTCTGTTTCACATTGGTAAAACGGAGAACTCTCATTTCGCCCCCACTGCTAACCCACATCTCACAGACTCGCAGGCATGTAAAACAATTTTGGCTGCAAATTTTGTCTCTCTGCTGCTGCTCTCTTTATGTTTCTTTGATTTCCTTTTGGGTAGGAGAAATTTGAGTTCAAAACCAAAACATAATTAGGTGGCAATTCATCCAACTGAATTCATTAAAACCCAAAACAAAGAAAGAAAAAAACCCAATTCATCAAATGATCCAAACAATTCAAATTGTAACACAGGTGTGCAGAAGGAGAAAAAGGGGTGTAAGGAAATAA